GCAATTTCAGCACGATACTTATTATGTGAAACCATAACCTTTGTCCTGAACTGGGATCACCGATAAAACCACACTGCAAGATGTCAATGATGTACTATTGGAGTTAGAGGTTCTGCACAAATATCCTATAAACGTAGTTGGAGTTGGTCCTGGTCAATCAGTCGCAGTAACCTGCTACTGTCCTGCTGAATACACTGGCTCATTGATAATGGCTGTCCTTGGTAAAATAGAGATACTGCAAACAAGAGGAGTGAAGAAATTTATAGTAGGCAACTGTATTATGTGGGATGCTACTCAGGTTAGATATTACTATTAATCTACTTTTAATTTTCTTTCTGCATGCAGGTAGTGAGTGAGAATATAGAGGGGACAAACTTGCTTGTACAGATTAATGATTTGAAAGCTGCTTTAAAAGACAGAGATGAAAGGATGATGGGTAAGAAATACATGTATCTGCATGTATTTATCCTTGATGTATACATAATAGCTATTGAAGCAGAGTTAGCAAAATTTAAGGAACTATCAGAAAGCAAATTAAAAGAAATAGAAAGATTAAAAAGAGACCTTAAAGAAAGCCAATGCATCAATGGTATGACAGTGATACTATCATGTCTTTGTATTCTAGTATCAATTGTTATTATAGTTCAAAATGAAGAAGTAATTAATGAACTAAAGGAGACAATTTTATCACTGGAAGACAATGAAGATACATTAAATGAAGTTATAGAAGGTACTTAAGTTAAACTGTCTGCTCTGTTACATATAATATGTGATTTCTACAGTTACTGAGAATGACTTAGCATCATTGAAGGAGCTGTCAGAGACTAGACTACAAGAAATAGAACAACTGAAACTGAAACTTGGATACAATAACAGTATGTTAAATACAACTATAACTGCACTGTGTTAGTTATTAATGTATTAATGTGTATCTCACCATATAATAGTTCCCCAGCAAAGGGGTATGATGCATATAAATTACCCACCAAATTTTTCTTGGAATAAAAATTTTGTCAAATTTTTCATGCTATTAAATCGAATATATATTTTCATATATTAGCACAAGAAAAGGTGGTGTGGAGTCAGAACAGTGTACAACTCACGAGTCCGTCAGTAGATCAATGCATAGAGGTAATCAGTGAACTTGAAGAGGAACATGAGAGTATTACACTCAAAGACTCATCATCTGATAGTACACAATTCCTAATGCCAATTATATTGGAGAGAGGAACAATAAAAGGAATTACTATATACTCTTCATTGTTATCACGTGCTGATATCCTCTCATTCTCCTCTCAACTATCAACAAACAAATCATTGACAACTCTAGTCCTAACTACTGGTTCAATTGGTAATAATGGAGTCATGGCACTAGCTGAATCACTGCAATATAATAAAACTCTTGAATACTTGTATCTTAGTTACAACTATGATTTAACTATCACTTCTGTTAGTGCAGAGTCACTAGCTGAATTTTTACTTGTTAACACCACACTCAGTTGCCTTTATCTTGACCATACTGGCATGACTACTGATGGAGTAATGATACTAATGGAATCACTCAAGACCAATAATACACTAGAGGAACTTTGGCTGGATGAAAAACACAAAAAAATATGCACTACTTTACCTTACTATGATCATATCAAAGACAAACTATATTTTTTGTAGACAAATTAATAAGTTTTAACGTTTAATAATTATTAATAATACACAAATTTAATACTAAATTATCTCAATACATTAGTTATACACAAACAATAAAATGCTATTAATCATGTGTTAGTCATGTGACAGTCAGTCAGTACAGCTGTTGATTCTTAGTAGACAATAAATACCAAAAGAGAAGACAGCCCTCAGTCTCTCTGATACATCATCACAAGCTCTTGCTTTATTAATGTCCTCCAGCCCATGGCCACCACTTATAAACACTTGATAATTACTATTAGTGTGTGTGGGCGGAACTGATACCAGGGTACTCACTCTATCAACGTGACCTCTGATTAGTGGGTGGAGTTGATGAGTGTTAGCTCTTCCCACTAACGATAGTGTAATAAGACACCAGTGGAGGTACCAATCAGTAGCTGAGATTGTGTACATGTTAGTAAAGTGATGTAAGGATTGGTGCATTTGTGATTCTTTATGATGGGATCATAATCTACAGGAAAAAAGAAGAGAAAATACATTTTACATTATGAATTTAGTATCAAGTACATGTACATACCTAAAATGTCAATGAAAAGAACATACATGTACATGTACGTGTACATTATATTTCAAAATATAACGCAGTTTATGATTACATGAGGTACATGTACATGTATGTTTGTGTACTGTTGGTCTATGCTTACATCTCAGTGCTGATGTTACATAGCTGCTACAATCAACAGTATGAACAGTTTCCATGACAGCACCATTGAAAGAGCATATGTGAACAGTGAGTGAGTTCTTTAAAGAAATAAACACCAAACCAGCAGCTGCAGGAGTAGTAGCAATAGGATTGGAGCTGCTGCTGCTAGTGGTAGGGGTAGGTGAAGAACTCTTTGGACTTGAAGTTCTCTTTGTTTGACTGGTTGATGGTTGAATAGCTTGAGGAGAAGGAGGAGGTATTATTAACTGATCTATGTGATCTGATAAACTGACGAACTCCTGAAAAAATAAAATAAAAAGAGGGTCAGTATTTTAATCAATGATATTACTGAGAATTTTTAAAACTATTATACATGTAATTGTAAATTATTGCATGTACTATCCATTCCAATGTTCATAGGTCCTTACTTTGCATGTTAATGTTTCGGAATTCACGTCCACTATCCTGTTACCAGTAGCAACCAGTTTACACACCCCACACTCACAATAGCTTTGATTGGATAAGAAGAAACTGATATGAACCTCTCGGGTCTATCGATACCTTTAATTAGAAAAATAATATTAAAATATTTCGACAAAAAACTCCCTACTTTTATGAAGATTGAAGAGTGCAATTCGACCACTACTAAGCCCAACCCACGCGCAATCCTCATCAGAACTAGATACATGTAACAAAGCCACACCCACTTTCAAAACATGCAATATCCCATCTTCGGTACTCAACCAGAGACACTGGTCGCCCTCCGGAGTAGGAGGAGCTAGTTTGTGTCTTCACTCTTTTTGAGTTCGTGAGACGATATAAGATGAAGTCCTATGAGAAGAAGGTGGGATCAATGGGTGTGGTCTGTCAGTTATTGATTGAGGTGAAGGACAGAGTAACTCGTCAGGTTCTAGAGGAGCTCGATCAGTAGGAGGGGCAGTGGGCAGAGTCAGTGGTAAACGAGTGGAGGAACGAGAGTCGTCAGGAAAGGAAGAATGAGCTAAAAAATAAAGAAAATATAAATCAATTTTTATCATAATTTCTATGAATTAAAACAATCACCAAACATCGCATCTCTTAAATCATAAAAATATATAATGTACTGTGCTATTTATGCAGCTGGTTTTGCTCATAATCCCGCTCATTTTAAAAATCTACAGTACTCTATTCCTTACCATTAGCTAGTGTGATGTTCATATGTTCAACACACAAAGAACAGATCAGCCTTGAGCTGGACAGTGGGAGGGTCGCTACCAGTTGAGGAGGAGTGTCCTTTGACGTACTCCAGGAGTTTAATATGGTGATGTTCCCACGCCCACACACATCATTAATGCACACGAATAACTGATTGTACATACCATTGGGAACAGCAATGGGGAATAACTATATATAAAAAGAGTTAATATAACAATAATAATAATAATAATAATAATAATAATAATAATAATAATAATAATAATAATAATAATAATAATAATAATAATAATAATAATAATAAATTAAAACCTCATTACTATTAGTTAAACCACTTCAAACTGCACACACTAGACCATATGATTTCCCACAAATACATGTATCAACTACTCCACACACATATACATGTACATGTACGTACATATACATGTACATGTACATGTAATCAAATAAAAAGAAATAAAACTTAATTATAGTAATAGTCACAATATACATGTACATGCATGTATGTACCTTCAAATAATGTACATGTACATGTATTTCATACAATATATTTCTTTCTTACTTCTGATCCTACTCTACAAGATGGCAGTGTCACATGCCACATGAACTGAGATAGTGCAGTTTTAGGAGGATCAGTGTGTGTCCTCTGGTAGTGTGTGCTGCTGGGGCCTTGTTGTTTGGGTAGAGAGAGTTGAAGTGAGTGTAGGGTGTGCTCCCAGTCTTGTCTGTCCTTCTGAGATGAGAAGGAAATGGATGCCTTGTTTGGAGGAGAGCTACAAATGAATGAGATAGATAATTATTGTTATACATTCAACAATTAATAATGATATGACTTTATTACAATATTTTAAAATATATTATTGTCTTATGCTATGTAAAAAGTTTGAGCTGATTTCAACTTGAATTTTTTAAGTTACGGCCATTTAAAGATATTGGCCAAAATCTGAAAAAATCCCTGAACTATAGCCCATGGTTTTTTCTAAAAATTGGCTCCGAAATTACCCCCAATTTTTATTACATTTTTTTGATACATATTGATGTACTTATGCTATGTAGAAAGTTTGAGCTGATTCCGACTTAAATTTTTCAAGTTACGGTCATTTTAAAAAATTGGCCAAAATCTGAAAAAAATCCCTGTACTATAGCCCATGGTTTTTTGTAAAAAATGGCTCCGAAATTACCCCTAATTTTTATTACATTTTTTGATACATATTGATGTACTTATGCTATGTAGAAAGTTTGAGCTGATTCCAACTTAAATTTTTCAAGTTATGGTCATTTTAAAAAATTGGCCAAAATCTGAAAAAAATCCCTGTACTATAGCCCATGGTTTTTTGTAAAAAATGGCTCCGAAATTACCCTTAATTTTTATTACATTTTTTGATACATATTGATGTACTTATGCTAAGTATAAAGTTTGAGCTAATTCCGACTTTAACTTTTTGAGTTATGGCCATTTAATTTATGCTTTTTCCCAAAAACTAAGTTGTACATTTGTAATTTTGTACATGTACAGTACATGTACATGTACATACATGTACCTGTACATACAGAAAAGATTATGCTAAAAATACAATGACATTATTTTCATAAAGTGTGTATAGATACCATTCTGTGAGAATACTCCTCAGAAGCTTGATGTACAGCAGAGTCCCAGGTGGCAGCTACTCTATTCTTAGGATTCAACTGCCAATACCTACATGTACATGTACAATAGAGAGTAATAGAATACTGAAATACATGTGGACTGTACTTACATTGTTGGATTATCAAATCCCATTTGATCCTCCTACATCAAAGGACAAAGAGCAACAAGTAATGTAAAACAATTGATAAACACACACGCTTACACACGCACACACACACACGTGTAATATTCAACATGTAACATTCACCATTCTCAAGTTACAATGTGCCTAGTATAGGGATATTTGATATCATGATAAAGCCAGTTCAAATTTGATCCTCTCAATAAATTATGGCTCACAATGTACTGTATGTAAACAATTGCATCTACTAAAAAGCTTACAGAAACATAGTAGGGTCCAGCAAAATCCCTAATGATACCAGCAGAAGTACATATACCCATATGTGTCCAATAAATGGGAAAACCACCTGCAACAAAAATATAAAAATCCAATAAACATACACATATTAAATGTGCATATACATTTACAGTACATGTGAAATTACTATTTCATGTAGGATCCTGGGCTTCTACCGTATTGTGGGAAATTTTCGAGGATAACAAATTTCGTGGATTTTTTCATGATTCACAAAATTAAATTCCTTGAAAATCAATTTAATACGGTACAAGATGGCAAATTAGTGGAGATTCGTGAAAATTAATTCCACAAACTTCCGGATACGGGTCATTCGCAAAATTTATTATCCTCAAAAAAACCGCTATACGGTATTTTCTATCTTTAACAGGCTTCTATTTGAGGGTTCTCCTATACTTTATATAGGATTATACCATACGTACATGTATATAGCCCCAAAATAGGCTTCTAACATTCTATTGAGAAAGGCTTCTATTTATTGGAGTTGTGACCAAGCAAACCCTCTATGAGAGTACATTCACTTCATACCACAACTAATGAAGAACTAGATGTACATGTACAAGGAATACTGCAAGTCCTTATATAAAATCCCAAGCTTCTGCTTCTATTGAAGACAGGCTTTTATTTGAGGATATACATGTATGTACAATGTACAGTATATGGTATTTTACAAGGGCACATGCCACTCTACATATACATGTACATGTATACATCTACATGTACATGTACTGTATTTCCTCGAATAAGGGCCTAGGCGTTTATTGCTTAGCAGAGGCAAAAATCACTGAAAAAAAAATAAATAAAAATGTGCCAAAACCCGGGCTCCAACTTGCAACTCTACGTTCCGAGGAGTGATGATAAACAATTAGGCTACATCGGGCTACTCTAAACACAAGGGCACATAAATAATACAGGCTGAAATACATGTATGTGTATCTATAGTGGTAATACATGTATATTAGTAATAGGCACTTAATATTTGAGTAGGGCCCCTATTCGTGGAAATACGGTATAGTATAGCTGGTAATTTTGGAAGAGAAAAAATTTGGCAAATTTGACATTTTGATAGCCGTTCGCCAAACAACCATGTATATACTAATAGCTCAGAGCCACAAATTCACCAAATAAGAACTTGTCAATCACTAAAATTTATTCCTCATAAAATTAACAGCTACTTGCATGTACATGTACATAAAAATGAAATACAGTAGTTTTGCATAGCCGAACAAAGGGTTTCCTATGGAATTTTGGCATAGTACTCATGAAGTTCATTGTCAGTGGATTATCAAGTTGCTTAAAAATTAGGCCAAAGACACCGTACATGCATATACATGTACTATAGTACAGGGTATTTCGACAAAAATAAAAGGGAGATACTTTTCCCTTTGATTTTTGTATGTTGTGTAGAAAGCTTGAGCTCATTTCGGTGAAATTTAGATTTTTAAAAAAATATTGAAGTGCTCAGAAATTGGGCCAAAGACCTAAGGATATACATGTAGCTTTTCGTCTTTGGCCCAATTTGGTCAAATTTTGTCAAAAATGGCTCTGAGGGAAATCTCCATTTTTATAATTTTTCTAATACGCATGCATGTTCTTACGTTGTGTACCAACTTAGAGCTGATTCCGATGAAAATTAATTTTTTTAATAAATTTTTATATGCACTGTATTGTAGTGCTTCTCAGCTCATGAGGCATGTACAAGTATTGAGCTCACTTAGTAAGCTTTGTGGGAAACCCTGGCCAGACTCATCCCCTTTCTCTAATGCAATGTAAATGGAGTGGGGGTAAAGCTACATCTACTTTCCCTTGCATGTTCAAAGCAGATTCCTTAATTACATGTACATGTACATGTATATATATATATTATTATGCATTCAAATCAGACTCAAAAAATGAGGTTAGGTACAAAAAGCGATGGCATCTCATCTTACGTAATAATAGGAAGAGGAGTCCACACAATAGAGTAAGGATATCTGTTCCTTGAAGTATCTATGGCCCCTTTTGCAAAACTTCCTTCAACGTCCATTTTCTTTTTCATTGTTTAAGCCACGCCTTTTACTAGTTACGAGTCCACCCCATCCGCGTGGTACTCACATGTGTGAACTGTGAATTAGAAAAGTCTGAAAAGTGAAAAGTTGTTAATAATTATAGTTGAGCCCAAATGAGTGATACAACTGTTCCTTCAGTAGTCTCAAGGGATGGCTGGTTCTCGGAGATAAATGACTTATGGCCTGGAGAGTGTTTCTCTCTCAAAGTGGATGAGATATTGCACCAAGAAAGAAGCCAGTATCAGGACATAATGATCTTTAAAAGGTAACTGGGCTTTGACATAAGTGCAACTTTATATGTTCTGTACTTGTAGTAAAGCGTATGGCATGGTTCTGGTCCTTGATGGTGTCATACAGTGTACTGAGAGAGACGAGTTCTCATATCAAGAAATGATAGCACACCTACCTCTCTTCTCTCATCCCAATCCTAAGTCGGTAAGACTCAGTAATGGTTCTGTTTGTATTGGAAATACACGTACTATCCAGTACCGTATAGAGGGAAATTTTAGAGGGACTAAAATTTGGTGAATTGCAAAATTGTGGTGACTGGCAAATTTTAATTTGGCGAATTTGTGGCCATGTGCCATTGAGCATGCGTATAATGGCTCAAAATGGCGGATTTTATTTTGGCAATTGGGTATCGAAATGCCAAATTTGCCTAAATTAAGTCCTCCAAAATTTCCTGCTATACGGTATTTAATCTATATGATGCTCATTTGTTGCTTAATGTATGTATTGCAAAGCTCAAAGCTTGTGTTGTGTCTTCAAACTTGTACTTCTGAACTTGTTAAAAGGAGTAGCCATAGATAGTATAGTAGCCATGGTAATTACGTGGAATATTATAGGCCTTGGCAATAGAGCCACAATTGATGTACATGGACAAGTATTTGTAAAGTATATTGGATGGCAGGAACTGTAATACTGTGGGAAGTTTATGATTATTTAAATGTACATACATATTTATTGTTTTTTTCTGATACATTGTACATGTTCTTTTGTTGTGTAGGTTTGAATTGATTTGAAATCAAAATTGGGGTTATTTTGAATTTTAAAAGTTGCTCAAAAATTAGGCCAAACACCCTGTAGTACTATAGTACATGTACACAGACTTCGACTAAATTCTGTCAATAATGATTAGGAAATAATTCTCCATTTAAATTTTTTTCTTACACATAATACATACATGTTCTTATGTTGCATAGAAGTTTGAGCTTATACCAATCAAAAAATCAGATTTTTTATGAATTTTAAAAATTGCTCAAAAATGAGGCCAACGACCATGTATTATAGTACAGGCTCTTTGGTCAAATTTTACCTAATTTACTAGGAGAGATATCTCTATTTCAATATTTTTTATTGATGTATATACAGTTTCTTACGTTGTGTAGGAAATTTGAGCTGATTTCAATTAAAATTGAATTTTTTAATGATTTGTCCAAATGCCATATACTGAATTATAGCGCTTTTCAGTTGTCAGCTCATGCAGCATCATAAACAATTAAACATGCTGTTTAGCTCACTTACATGCAGCATGCTTTGTGGCTTTGTGCAAAACCCTACATTATACTTCATTCTTACATGTACATTGTATGTACTTGTAGGTACTGATCATAGGAGGAGGAGATGGAGGAGTAGTGAGAGAAGTTATCAAGCATCCTTGTGTTGAACAAGTTCATCTTTGTGAAATTGATGAAGTAAGTGTAATAGGGGATCATCCTATGATTGTTTCAATTCATTCCATTATGCAATGAAGACTGATGAAAAACTAGTATTGCCGATTTTGCAGTTTATAGCAACAATTTTATGAGCAATTCTCAGCCTCATTTTTGCTACAAAAAGCTACCCTAAACCAATGGTCAAAGCTCATAGCATACCGTATAGCTAGAAAATTTGGTGGAGTAAAACTTTGGTGAATTTGGTGAATTGAGGTCCATTCGCCAAATTTTTAATCTCCAATTTGATAAGGCTCCATAGAAGCATACACAGAGTTAAAATTTCGCCAAAATTTTAACCTCCAAACCTCTTTTAGAGTCAATTCACCAAATTTTAGCACTCCAAATTTTCTAGCTATACGGTATATACATGTACATGTATGCAAGGTTATGGCTTTACGATTATGTCATGTATTAGCACTTATTCAATCTATATTCAGTATTACATTTAATCACAGTGTTAATTCACACTTATTAATTATTGACACTTTATATGTTACATGCCTGCATCTGCAACACAGTTACACTTTCAAACTTTGTTTAACACTACTATTGCTCAATAATCAATATGTACTGACACTGGCTTGCCTGAACAGAACATTCTACAACTTAATTTCTGATTTCTATATACAGTACAAGCCAATAAAAACTTCGTGTTCCGTTTACGTTGAACAGCCATTGGGCGTTTCAACGCTATATAAAAAACATTTACCGTATAGCTGGAAAAGTTTGCGGGAATTATATTTTGTGATTTTGTACCCATGTAGCTAATTTTAATGTTTGTGGAATTTAATTTTGCTGGTGTAGGCGTGTACTGTTGATACACCCATTACTTATAATGCTTTGCGGAATTAAATTGTGCGTTTTTATGATGAACAGCAAACAGCAAAATTAAATTCCAGCAAATTTTTCCAGCTATACGGTACTTCCGTTTATGGTCCGTTTTTCCATGAAGCATAAAATGCATGTCGCTACGTTTATGACTTACCTGTCTTGTTTTATCATCAACCATGGCTCATAGTCATTCTGTAAGTGTATCTAAGAAAGTCTGACTCCTGAAGAAACTGTCAGAAAAGGGAAAAGTCGAGCAACGCTTGGAGCGTTGTGATAACAAAAAACGGTAGTGCCCAGACCCAACAGACCATGAACGGAACAACCACAATAAAAACGGAAACAGTGCTACCGTTTAATCGCCGTTCAACGTAAACGGAATGCGAAGTTTTTATTGTCTTCTACTGTTCTTTATTCTAAAAGTATTGTTGATTTAGTATCTATATTTTGTTGGCTATTGC